TTTTCCACAGTTATCGATTCAAGTTTTCGATTGTCGATTCGATTTGAGTTACAGAATAGACCCGATTATCAGTAAATCAATAAGCGTTTCAGAATTTGGAGTACCTAATTCGAGTAGTAAGACACGTTGCACTCGTTGCAGAAGGCTATACTCGCACTTATTCGTTGGTCCAATCGCTCCTTCGTCGCTTGTGGCCAAATTCCAAATTCGTATGGAAATATGTGGCCTTTTAAAATTTGTATTTTATTATACGATCCCATTGCACGTTTTGCGATTTTTACATTGGCTTTATGTTTATTACTCAATAGCTGTACCTCTACGTGCATTGCTACGCCTCCCCTAAAACAATTAGTTTCAAACTAACCCAAGCTAACCTAAACTAAATCAAGCTTTACGCTTTAGATCTATTTCACAGGAATTATGCCCTTAGATCATATATATATGTTATTCACATATGGATACAGCGAAAGCCAACAATTATGTTGACAACATATCCAAGACATACTTAAATCGTATTTCTTTGTTTAACACGCAGATCTCTTATGAGCTTTATCTTTCTTTTGTCTTGATGCATGACCTCTCATTGGCGGCAAATTTGGAAAAGTGACAGAGAAAATATAAGGTTAAGTTCATTTGTTTTGTTTACGTTTACTGTAGTACTGTACGTAAGGAGAAGGAGAGTTCGATTGAATTTTATATTATATTGATTCACTGATAACTTGAACTGGTGGAAAAATAATATTGTTCACAGTAATCACAGTTCAGAAAATGCTGCCGAGTGATTTCTATTCCCATATATCAATAATTATGCTATGCATGTGATTGATAATTGAATAAAATATACATCTACCAAGTCTTCCTAGATACGTTTGGCTTTTTTTGTCTCTGTTTTTACTGGCAGAGTTGCTCTATTGCAATGGCTTTTAAATTAACTAAGAATGTATATTGCTCTATTCAAAATATCGAAAGCAAATGGCAAAACCGGAAGAATGCAGAAATCACAATACAATCCACAAATCAAGCAAGGGTTGCCAATGTTGCCAAATCATTTAAAGCATCATTTCTACCGCATTCATTAATAGTTTTCAATAAGAATACTACAATAAAATAATTGATATTTACTTTTGAATCTTGAATTGCTTGGAATCTAAAATAAATGCTATTTTCATTATGTGATTTTGCTTCTAGCACACAATTTTATAATAATTAATTGCAATGTGAAGAAATATCAAAGCTTATACAATATTAATCCATTTGGCAATGTTGAAAATTGAGTAAATTAGCAAAGACGTATGTTATTACTTCTAACTACGCATGCTCAGACACTGAAACAAAAGAGAGATAAATTTATATCATTCATGAAGCTATGAAAGAGAAAAATGGAAAAAAGCACGTCTTCATGTTGGAAACAGGAACGTATGTTATTTCAGGGCTGCGTTCAGATTGAACGTCGGGTGTCGCCCGAGCGCGTTCCGACCGTTCAGATTGCTTTGGGTAAAATTTACCCAGCCGTTCAGATTGTCAGTAGATTTTTACCGGACGACGCCCGGGCGCACACTTTTGCATCCCATAAAATAGCAAGATAAAATTTGCCCCGCATGCGCGTTTGTGATTCTAACCTTAAATAATAAAGGCAAATATTGTAAATAATTATTTTTGCGAGTTATGGTGGGTTTATCTAAATTCTTCGTTATCCTCATCAACTCTATTTAAAAAAAAGGTGGCCTCTTTCTTTTTTTTTGTTTAGTTTGTGATGCTAAATTGATAGCAATCACTGACACTAGCACATCCTCGTCGTCCGAAGATGAAGCGTCCTCATCATTCAATAACTCTTTAAATATGAAGATACTCTGGCTTCTTCCATAGTTAGTATTTATTTAAAAAATTATGAAGAAAACGGCAAAAATGTTAGAATCATTGAGGTTATAAAGAAAGAATGCGTCTTGGCCGTTCAGATTGGGCGAATCGCCGGGCACAACCCGGGCACACTCGGAGTGCGCTCTCTATCGGGTGCGCTCTTCACTGGACGTCGTCCGGACTCTTCAATCTGAACGCGCCCCAGAGGGGATTGCTGTATCCATATGTGAATAACATATATATATGATCTAAGATTATGCCTGGATAAAAAGTAGCCTATAACACACCCTACCCCATTTATAAAGATTGTTTTTTGTTTAAAGATAATTCCCCAAGTCAAAAATTTAGTAACTATGTTGGCAACACAAGTCTTTTCTACACAAAAAATTTGAAAGCTTTGACAATTTTACATTGTATTGTCAACATAATGTCATTCTGACTTTTATCTTTACAAAAAAAACAGACTTTAGTATAGAGACTGCGAGGCAAAAATTTCAAGGAGATCGGTTCAGCGGTTTCCGAGTCCATGAAAAACGAACAAACTAACAAACAAACTGCGTGAGTATTACACGCATCCTTACGCGTCCTCGTAAGAATGCATAACCTATCCAGAAACCTTCCTTGGGATGGCGGCAACAACCTACAAAAGTTTCATCGTAATCGGATAAGTGGTGTAGGAGCGCATAAGAGACAAACAAACATTGATTTTTATATGTAGATATGATTTTCATAATGTGTTGTGTACTTGTCCTGTCCTGTCCTGTGGTTTCTCTCGAGGAGCGGACGGTATTCAGTTATCACGCAATCACGCCCCCTTTTCGTACTATTTCCTTTCGAAATGTTGTTTCCTTTGTAGAAAAATTAGGTAAAGATTGGAATGAACACAAATCACAGATATTACTTTGAACCCTTTGAACCGTGTGAATACTCTCGCTTTACCTATAAAATTTATCGTTTAATTCGTTTAATAGTATACTGAAGAAACGGAAAATATGAAAATGAGTAATAAATCAGAAAGCAGACAATAAAAATCGGAAAAAGTGCAATTATAAATCTATTTTTCTACCGTGAAGAATAATGACGTTCTCAAGTTTTTGGGCTTTGGCTAACGTAAAATATGATGAAAGTTTGTTTTTCTCCAAACGTCAAAAAAACGTCACTTTGTTAACCCCTGTCAAGATGTCAGAAATTTGATTTCTATGCTGCGAGGCAAATCCAGCAGGTTAACACCTGTCGAGGTGGTAGAAGTTTAATTTCTATGTTGCTTGGCAACCCCAGCGGCAGCAAAAGTACTTTTAGTGCCGCTCGTACTTTTACTGCCGCTCAACCATTCACTTGCTCCCGAGCTTACCCCATTAGTTTGGAGAAAAAATAGCGTGTTGCTTACGGAGTAGAAGCACTTTTTTGTGCTTCAGCAGTATTGCAAGCCTCACTACGTTCGGCTCGCAAACCTACTGCTTCAGCACAAAAAAGTAAAGCTTCTACTCCTAATACAACAATATACTATTATTTTTTAATGATCATAGCAATAATAGTTATTTATGTATCAAGGGTACTAAGTAGATGATTATGCCCTGAGGGCGACAGTCTTACAAAGCCGAGGGCCTCTGGCCCGAGGGTTCGTAAGTCGCCCGAGGGTATATATATCTATTAGTACCCGTGGTGCATACAAATTTTTATGTCACACCAGTTGGTTGTGAATAGAAAATACCTGGGAAAAAAGTATCACTTCCCAAATTGTCATCAGTGTGCAAACATCATCATTTTTTGACAAAAATAATATGTTTATAAGCGTAAATTTATATTTTGTTGATAAAGAATAAGTTAATTGAAAACTGTTTTTTGCGTCTTTATGCCCGCGCGGGCCATAATGTGTACTTTATGCCCGCACGGGCATAAAGTAATGAATTATGTAGATGGTATCTAAGGTATAAAAACACAATAATGTATTGGTATGACATAAAGATTTTTATGTCATACCAATACATTATTGTGTTTTTATACCTTAGATACCATCTACATAATTCATTACTTTATGCCCGTGCGAGCATAAATTACACATTATGGCCCGCGCGGGCACAAAGACGCAAAAAACAGTTTTCGATTAACTTATTCTTTATTAACAAAATATAAATTTACGTTTATATACATATTATTTTGTGTACAACTGTCAAAAAATGATGATGTTTGCACACTGATGACAATTTGCGAAGTGACACTTTTTTCCCAGGTATGGTTTATTTAACGCTTCCATGACGCCGTGCGCGAAATGTTACTTTGTATATATATGTATTCTTCTGTGGAAGCCTTCCTGTATATATATTTATTATTCAAACCAACTTACGAACCCTCGGGCCAGAGGCCCTCGGCTTTGTAAGATGTCGCCCTCAGGGGCCTTATTCTGTAAGGAACGAAGCGTTCGATTCGGTAGAATTTTTTCGATTGTGATGTCATTTTCGGTTTGATAGCGCGAAAACGAGCGAAAACTAAACCGAAAATGACGTCACAATCGAAGAAGTTCTACCGAATCGAACGGTTGTTCCTTACAGAATAAGGCCTTATTCTCTAAAAACGAACCGTTCGATTCGGTAGAATTTCTTCGATTGTGACGTCATTTTTGGTTTGGTTTTCGCGCTACCAAACCGAAAATGACGTCACAATCGAAGAAATTCTACCGAATCGAACGGTTCGTTCCTTACAGAATAAGGCCCCAGGGCATAATCATCTACTTAGTACCCTTGATACATAAATAACTATTACCTTCAATAAGCGGTCTATAATTTGAACTTCATTGTCGTCAACACTTGACACAGAAAGTGATCCACTTGATCCTAGGACCATGAAGTTTTACGTATGGGATGTCATTCGGCCTCGAATTCTTTTCGTGCTTCGGCGCTCAATTGCTTCGCTTTGATCTTCAAGCATTGAGCTTAGCACAAAAAGATGCACTTCTTGGCCTAGTGACAGAAATAACTATTGTGAGATATTATTTGGTCGAAGCAATAATAAGAGCAAGAAATAGAAAGGTTACAAAAGCACCAATTCAGAAAATTGGTAAAATAGGTTAACGGAAATTTATGGTAGAAATGAAAATAAATATGCCTTATAGAAAGCATGTTAATCAATCGTCATTTTACTTCTAGCTTGGAGGCTGTAAAGCAGGATGCTTCGAGAAATATCCCGAACACAAAGTGGACAAATACAAAACCGTCTACCAAATGCTGAAACCACGCACTGGAAGTATGTTCATTCTGTCGACCTGCAGAGAAAAGAGCTACTATACTTGTTCTGTCATCAACGAAAATATAAGTTTCAAAATGAACGAAAGCACCTATAAAAGTTATAAACCCAACTTTATTAAATATCTTTTGTAGATAGAAAAACACCAAAAGCTTGTTTTATTTTATGTTTGATGTTTGCTTGCACGGCCTATTTCAAAAAAAGAAATATGTAGTGAATGTAGTGATCGAGATATTCAGAAATTTAGTTTGTGTCCCTGGAATCTGGAATCTCGAACCTTATGGGTATGTACCTACTGTTGTAAGCTGTAGGTAGGTACCCAGACAACACAAAAGTATAGAAGTGCTTTAACTGTAATGCATTTTCACATTAGAATGCCCGAGAAGTACTTTAGCAAAAACCACTCCGCCGCTTTCGAAATTACCACCCGGCCGTCATAAAATCGGCACTACTTTAAAAGCATAAGCCCTGGCGTAAAAAAACGGAAGTGCGTTTTACAAGGCAAATTTCTTTCAAATTGACGCTTTTCAGTTGTCTCACGATTTCTCACGATTTTTGGCGACCAATCTTACGATTTACTACTGAAACAATCTGGCACCACGAATTATTTTGCTCGAAGCAATAATCATAATGCCTCAAAATAGTGCTTCAACGGTGCCTAAAAAACAGTGGTGATGCACTTCATAATTAGACTTGTTTCTCACAGCCAAGAAGCACTTTTAAGGTGCTGCATAAATGTGCATTTAAAGTGCTGCATAAATGTGCATTTAAAGTGCGGCATAAATGTGCACTTAAAGTGCTGCATAAATGTATATTTGAAGAGCTGCATAAATGTGCATTTGGAGTGCTGCATAAATGTGAATTTGGTGCAAAATTAGTTTCAGAAGGAGTCTTAATAATAAAATACACAATACCAAATCGAATCGTTTATTGTGTTTGCTGAATACATAATTATGATTATTAATAGCAAACATGATTATGTCGTCCTCTGAGTCGTCCTTTTTTCCTCTGCCCACATCCCGATCACATGCATTTCTTAAACATTTTTTGATCACTTGATGAACCTCCTGTTAAGTTGTGTTACGGGAAAGAAAGTTCTTCCTTACAGCAACTAAGAAATAAAATTAAATTAAGGAAATATGTGTAAGAATATGTATATAGGATATGTTGCCGAGGGTATTTTGAAGTTTTATTCCGAAAAAGTGAAATTAAAATGCTATTAATATCATTAATCATTAGGATAAGATATAACGAGTAGTTAAGGAAATGGTTTAGTTAAAGGGGCTTCTCAACCCTGCGGAAAAGTCCCTTTATTCAACACAGCATTTTATTGTCATAAATCATAAAAATAAAATTGATCGGCTCGGGTATAGGTTATGGACTATGGTATAGGGTTAGTGGTCTTGTAGCTACCTATATTTATTTTCCATTTCAAAAGCAAGCGTGCAAAGACAAATACACCTAAATAAATTAAATATGGCAACAACAACCAAGAATGGAATTTCAAATTAAATTGGTAGGTACAGGGTCATTTTTTATATTTTTCACCCCTCTTAACTTTTTTGTGCCACCGTGTATAAAAAAAATGTAAATAGGAAAGGTGTAGTGCTTGAAAAATAGTTCTCAGAAAACATAGTTTTTTTCATACAGGGTGTTGCAAAAAGTTTAAAATGGGACACCCTGTATATTATGACATTTTTGGATTCTGCGGAAAATTCTAGACATATTTCAAGTGTAATGTCATATACCTATCTTGAAGAGTTTCGGAAATAATGACAATAGAAAATTGACTTTTTTGTCTTTTTTGCATCTTTGATAGGCTGTAAAACCTAAACTGGTAATTTTACAGCAAAACCGATTTTACATTCTTGTCTTCAGCTTTTCATAAGCTAGCATTTGAAACCAACTTTGAATTTGAAATTTAACCGGAGATTAAATTTATTTGGAATTTTCAATCATGGATTAAATTCAAAGTTGGTGTCAAAAAAAAACACTTTTTTTCAAATTTTGTTGTTGATTTTCTATTTAAATTTTTTTTTTTTAATCCGATACCGGGGACGCTTGCCAGTGGGTTCAGTGACGCATTTTAAGCACTCCAGAGCTGTTCTAGAGCGCCCCGGGCTGTTTATAAGACAACGACTGTCATCCGCGTAGCCTAGGGTGATGTAGCCATGATCGTTTAGTTTCCTCAGAAGTTCATCCACGACTAGATTCCACAAGAGTGGTGAAAGTACTCAGAGCTGGGCAAAATACTTTCAAAAAGTATTTAAATACTGAATACTAAATACCTAATAAAGACTGAAAGTATTTAAATACTAAATACTATTTGACTTGAAAAGAAATAAATACTAAATACAAAAAGTATTTAAATACTTATTTAAGTATTTAAATTCTTTTTAAGTATTTAAGTACTTTAAAAACTATTTAAATACTTTAAAAAGTATTTAAATACTTTAAAAGGTATTTAAATACTTTTATTAGGCAAATACCTTATTCAAAAACTTCAAATAGTACAAGTAGATATACTAGGAGAGTTCCCGAGCGGAAGTGACCGTCATTCGTCGTGGGGCCCGCGCCCGTCATTGGAGGAGCCCCAAATTGAAGGGGCCTAACCCAGGTGAGCCTGTGCCCCATTTTTTCGGTGGGCCCCATTTTTCGTCAAGTGGAGGGGCCTAACCCAAGTGACGTCATCAAAGGGGCCACATGCTTGTCCCCGCTGCTAGACCCGGGGCCCCATTCACATGAACTAGAACTCATAACCTGAAATTATGGGCCCCATTTCAGTGACAGGGCCCCATTTTTCGGTTAGCCCCAATTTTTCGGCAATTGGAGAGGCCTAACCCAAGTGACGTCATCAAAGGGGCCATACGTGCTTGTCCCCGCTGCTAGACCCGCACAGAGGGCCCCCATTTACATGAACTCATAACCTAAAATTATGGGCCCCATTTCAGTGACGACGACAAGTTGACAGGTGCGACGTTGCCAAAACTAATACTTGAATTCGCCGCAACGTTGCCTATGAGGAAATTGTCTAAATCTAGGGAAAATGCAATGGGGGGCCCCCCAAAGGTTATGAAAACAGGGCCCCGCAATTTGTTCATCATTCGTCGTGGTCGCATGGAACTCGTACCTGGTACCTCGTACCTGGTACCTCGTACCTGGTACCCCGTTACTTGTAACAAGATACACCGTACTGGGCCCCCTTTTTTCGTCGTCGGCCCCATTTTTCTAAACTAAAATATGGTCACATAAAAGACAACATGCCTCGTCATCATCATTATCATCATCATTGAAAAAATAGTGCTCCAATTTGGGCCCCATTTTTCACGGACTTGTAACGATTTAATTGGGGGCCCCAAATATTATTTTTAAAATAATTATAATTTCTACCGTTCTCATAAACAACAACAAGAAGAGCAAGTTGTGTGTGAACTTGCTTAATCCTGTTATCACACGGAAGCCGCATTTCCTGCGACGATAACGAAACGTAGCTGGCTGGCCTGGTACTTGTTATTCATTTTCAAATTTTAGTTAGATTTTAACGTCCCTAGGTGACACAACGTTTTTCTTCAGTGCTCATCCAGATCGAATTTTTCAACGAAAACTTAATTCAAAATTGGGCGTTACCTCAGTTATAATTGATTGTGTGTATTTAGTGCTAAAAACTATGTAAGTAATTTTTTTCATTATTCTTAAAGACCTTGATAATAATGCGTTGTTCTATTTTTAGTTTAATAATAGAATCAAAATTTAGCCACTTTGAGGTTTGAGCTCTTGAAATGTGTATTTGAAATTGTAAGTATATAATTTTTATTATATAGCATACAGTACATTTTTTCTCTTTTTAGATCTATTTTCAGTGCTCATCCAGATCGAATTTTTTCAACGAAAACCTAATTCAAAATTGGGCGTTGTCACATTTATAATTGATTGTGTGTATTTTTAGTTTAATAATAGAATCAAAATTTGGTCACTTTGAGGTTTGGGCTCTTGAAACGTGTCTTTGAATTTTGAAATTGTATGTATATTATTTTCAGTTTATAACATTTATTACATTTTTATATTGTTAATTAGACACAACAACACCTTAAAGACAACTCGAAGACAGCTCCAAGACAACTCCGAGACAGCTAAACAACACCTTTAACACCTCAAAGACAACTCGAAGACAGCTCCAAGACAACTCTGAGACAGCTCAACAACAACAACAACAACAACAACAACAACAATGGCTGATGAACATTTTAAACAAATTCTAAATGTAAGTGCTGAAATTATTGCTGTTTTTGAAAAAGCTTATGAGGAAATTGTCCGAGATTCAAATGATGCGGAAAAACGTATCTGGATTAAACATGTAAATACTTCAATTAGGCAAATTCTTAAATTCAATGCGAAAAATGTTTTACCAATAGGAACTCAAAGAAAATTACAAACTCAATTAGGTCATTTGAAAAAAATTCGTATTTTGATTAAGAAAGAATTAGTTAGGGAACCTTTTAAAGCGGGTGCAGGTAATGCATTGCTACCGAAAAAACGTAGTTTGAGAATTAAATGGGAGGATGTCCAGACCGCTTTTAAAAGTAGGATGAGGACGGGAATAATCATAAATTTAGTTCACAAAGATGTTTTAGAATTTTTCAAAGATGCTTTTTTTATGTTCAAAAATAGAATCGTAAACGTACTCAAGTCCCATCCTATGTTAAAAGTGAACTGCACCTTTTGTGGCGAATTCATAATCAAAAAACGGGATGAAGAGATAACTGAATTCAAATATTTTTCAACTAGAAGCGATATACTTGATGCCGGTACAAATTTGGCTACTTATTTCAATCAGTACATCAGAGATCAAATACTTTCCGACCTAGAAGAATTTCAAGAGCGGGATAGTGGGTGGGCATTACGCAAAATAGTATATCTTGAAATAAATATCAATAAATTTGAAATTGGGAATGGTGCGGGCTCATCTTACATTAGGCTACCTCAGGCAATTACAAATAAAAATGCTTGTGTAAATGTTAAAAACTACAATGACGATGCATGTTTTTTCTGGGCAATCATATCGGCCCTTTATCCAACAAAAATAAATCCAGATCGTGTTAGCTCCTATCCACAATACAATACCAAATTAATTACA